AGGGACCAGGCAAATGTAGGCCCTGAAGCCACGAGGCTGTACACCTGGAGCTAGTCCACTACTGGGTGTCAGCTGACACTGAGAAGTAAAAATTACGCCATTTAAAATTAAGAATGAAAACTAAAATCAAATAAATTCCACGCCAGCCACGCGGAGCTGCTGAGCCACACACCACGTCGCCCCAAGCAGGTGGGCAGACAGATAAAGCCTACACCCGCGCGCGTGCAGGAATGAACCCCGGGACCCGCAGCGTGGATTTAGAGTCGCTGCCCAGGCTTGCTCCAATTTATTGCTCCACGCCAGGTAACCTGATTTTTCTTAAAGATAAAGTTAAAACTTATCTTCAGGCACTTGCAGAATTTATCAGGCGTGGACCCTAAATGTCGCCCGTAAAGATCAGGAAACATAAATCCAGTGGCCTCTCTCAGAAGCTGGGGTCTGTCAGGGAGCCGCGGTGACTCAGGTGCTGTCTGCTCAAGGTCAGGGCTGTCTGCTCAAGGTCAGGGCTGTCTGCTCAAGGTCAGGGCTGTCTGCTCAGGGTCTCGGCTGAGCATCTGGGTTGACCACACAGAGGCATCCCTCTGCCTCCAGCTGGGGTGCTGCTCCGTCAGACATGACCCTGACCAGGCGAGGGCCAGGCCATTTTGATTGGGGGGTGGGGGGAGGTGGTTGAGGGCAATGAAAACCTAAATTCTATGAAGATGCAAAGATAATGAAACCAGGGCTCATGTGGAACGAAGGGCACAGTGTTAAGAGAAAATGCAACCCCTTCAATTTCACGCATCCGATCGTGCATGTGCCATGTCTAGAAAGGAACCCGTGAGCCCCGAGTGGTAAGGAAGGGCACCCAGGGGTCGGATGGGAAAGTGAAGATGTCAGGAGGGCCCGGCCAGCACGGCTCAGGAGTTGAGCATCAACCTAGGAGCCAGGAGGTCACAGTTCAACTCCCAGTCAAGGCACATGTCTGGGTTGCGGGTTCCATTCCTAGCAGGGGCGTGCAGGAGGCAGCAGAACCGAGCTTGGAAAAGCGAGAAGGCGGGAGGTGAATGAAGGGTGTGTCCAGGCAGGCAGAGAGCACATGCAAGGGCACTGGGGCCTGCCAGGACACGCAGGCGGAGTGCCTCAGCGTCTGCGTATGAACATGCCACCCGCTGTCACCGAGGCAGGTCAGCTGGACGGAGTCCCACCCCTCCTGCAGGCCGGCGCCCCCGCTGTGGGTTTCCGTCCCCCCTCATCCTCCCCTTGGCTTCTCCAAGCGGATCCCGGAAGCGACAGCCCCAAAAAGCAATCTGAGGAAACCTGGCAGCCTGGCCACGGCGCCCGAAGGACCCAGACGCGGTCCCTCCCGCCTTTGAAAAATGAAGGACTTGAAGGTAAATCTTGGGAAGCGAATAGAAGCAGAGCAACTTGAAAGGAAAATAATCACATTCCCCTCCGGCTAAATCACGGTTGGCCCCCGGAAAAGTCAATTACACTGAGGAAAATGAAGTGTTATTTTAGAAAGGGGGGAAGGAGGCTTCATAACCGCCTTTATGGCAGCAAATAAAACTCCAAGAGCAAAGGCGTGAGTCCCTGTGTTTCTCACGTGTGGCGGCGGCCAGAACGTGGCTTCTCAGACCACATCCTGGGGGCGGTCCATGATTTCCCGGTCCCCTGTGCATCCTTCCTAGGACCTGACCTCTCCGAACCGGCTGACCCACAGCCGCCCAGACACCAAAGCCAAGGCGCCCGCGCCCCCCATCAGGCTTCCTGGCCACCTCCTCCCAACCCTCTCATCCACCACCGCCTTCAGGAATCAAGCCCTGCAGGTTTCTTCTGCTTCTCTAATGTGGTCAAAGCAAGAAGAGTGAGCAGCCAAGTGTGTGGAGGCTGCCAGTGGCTTGGGGACCCTTTGAAGCGGCCCCCCAACCTTCTGGCCCCATGTCCAGCGAGGCTGCGCCCCGCACTCTGCAGAGGTGGTTCTCGGGGGCCCTCCCGCCTCCAGGGACGCAGCAAAGTCAGAGCTCCCTTGGGTCGTCCCACTGGGGGTCAGGGCTGGGCGTGCTCCTTGCTCTGCTCCCTGACCCGGGCCTGGGATCGAGGGTGTGGATGCCAGGGATGCTGCTAAGCACCCACAATGCACCGACAGCCCCTCAGGACCCCAAATGATCCCATGCAGAATGTCATTCGTACGCAGGTCAGACACCCCACCCCCACCCCGTGCAGCGCAGCCTGGCACACGGTCCCGGCTGCTCCCAGGCAGCCTCCAGGGCAAGTTCCTTCCTGGCAGCGATCCTGAGCATTCAGAGGACAAGGCACTGAGCCTCAGACAAGGCACCTCCGGGGCAGCAGGCTACCAGGCAGAGCTGGCCCCTTGCTAGGAGCCACCGACTGACCACACACCCGCCTGGCCACGCACAGCTCCATCAGCCCAGGGTCTGCTTTAGGGACTCCAGATAAGAAATTAAGAAGGGAACCCACAGTGCTGTGAGCTCCAGGGGGTTAAGGGGGGTCGGGGGGAGGCCCCTGGTCCCCTCAATCCTGACCCCCTCCTGTGCTCTCTCCACTCCCTCCCCTCCCCCATCCACCCTCTTGCCTCAACACTCCCAGGCACTCAGGGCCATTGCTGCTGGGCCCTTAACATGCTTGCGAGCTCGCTCTCTCTCTCTCTCTCTCTCTCTCTCTCTCTCACACACACACACACACACACACACACACACACACACACACACACCCCTGTCCCCATAGCCCGGGCTGGGAACAAAGGCGCGGTCTCTTCGGGAAGGAAGGGGCAGGAGGGCCAGGGGAGGAGGCCAGCGATGGCGGGGGCGGGCGAGGCACAAGCCCTAGAAGCCAGGCAGAGAGGGGCATCAGAGCCGGTGACCTGGGGCCCCAGGCGCCCAGTGGACGGGAGCGGGGCCGGAAATGGGGCCAGAAGGTCAGGAGGACTCTACAAAGGGTTCCCCAGACCCCGGCGGTCACCACAGTCTGAGGAATCTGCCAAACCTTCAAACCCCAACGCTTGCAGAAACACACTGGACCTGTCGGATGAGCGTGAAAAACTCAACCAGATCCACATCCCTGCAAACCCCGACGCTCCCAAACCTGCAAACCCCGACGCTCCCAAACCTTAGCATTTCCGGCTGGAAAGGAGCCTGAGTGAAGATGAGGCTGATTCCAGGTCACTGTCCTCAGGCCCAGGACCCCATGCGCTCACCACAGCTACCAGGACGATGGGGTGTTGCAGGGGGTGAGGGTGCTCCACACGTGAGCCCCTGTGAGGGCCCCCACTTTCTCTCCAATTTGAGACAAACCTGAATTCTGAAGGACTGCTGACCTTCTACCAGAATAGTATAAGCTCCATGGTTTGGGATCCCCAGTGTCTAAGAAGGAAGCTGGAAGCAAATCAGAAGGAAGGAAGATGGAGGAAGGAAGGGAGGGGAGAAGGGGAGGGGAGGAGGGGAGGGAGAAGAGAGAAGGGGAGGGAAGGAGGGAGGGAAGGCGTTATCTAAAGGCTCAGTTTCCCTTTATCTCTCATTTCTCTGCGGCCCAGGACAATCTCAGGTGTCAGGGAAGCTGAGTCACACTTACAACCTTCATCACCATTCACCTTCTCGTAGGTTAACTGCCCAGGTTTGTTGCTCATACAGGAGGCTCCTCTGCTCTGTGTTAATCAATTACGAGACAACTTGTGTATAACAAATACAATAAACATCACACAACTGTAGGAGGAGCAGAGCACACTATGCCAAACTGCCCTTTCCATTAAAAAGCCGTTCACGCCATCACCAGAAGCTGCAAACTTTCTTCCTGGCAAGTGAGCAGCAGCAGGGTGAGCCATGCTGGTAACTGGGGATGGGCAGCCTGTCCTGAGGGTGCTTCCGCATCCATCAGCAGACAGGACCAGGCTCCCGCCTCCAGGGAAGGGTCCTGGCCGGGAAGGTAGGTAAGTGCCCCCCAGGCCGGATTCCAGGGGATTCCAGGCATTCTGGCTCCCACCCCAGGCTTCAGAGCAAGCGCACCACCTTCCAAGCCCAGGAGACTCCAACGGAACAGGAGTGAGGTCTGGGGGCTGTGACCATTTAGGACAACAGGATCCCACCGGCAGCCACAGGTGGGGGGGGCCATCTGAGAGCGGCCCTCCCAATGCTCCCAGCTCCACGGCCCACCCCCCAGGAGCACCTCTGGGCTGAGGACACAGTGAAGAACACCTGACCTCACAGGACACCTACGCACCGTCTGTCCTCACTCCCATCTCGCCACGTGGCCGCAGGGGTCTGGACATCTGTGCTGCCAGGTGACTCCGGGACTAGCAGGTGCGGGAACCTGCATCCCTGTGTCAGGGCCTCCAGGGCTAAGGGTCCCTCAGGACTCGGCCCGACCAGGGGAAGTGAGCGAGACAGGGGCACGGGGAGCTGATGCCCAGCCTCCTCTCCGTGCGGGGCCCCAGGTGTGCTAGGTCTGGCCGGGCACGGCGCTCTGGGCACAGAAACGTGAGCAGGAGGATGGGCGCACCCCCAGCAGCCAGCCCTAGCTCAGAAAGGAAATCGCGACCGTCACGCTCACACAAGAAAGCGGACCTAACGTGTCCAAGGAAGTTAAACAACATCGCTCCCGACGGCATATACATCTTCTATCGCACTCCCGAGGCAGAGCAGCGGCACTGCACCCCCCGGGGACTCGGGGTGACGTTTCTGATGAGAGATTTACCCAGGGGAGCTTCAGGGACCTGCCCCCTTCGGGACCCTGGCCTCCGATGGAACGTTAAAATTCTAGGAAAGCAATGAACATCTCCACGGACCCTCCCAGTTCCACAGCAGGGCTGCCCCAGCAACAAGGACCCAGTGACTTAGTCCCAGAGGGAGCCTGGGGGCCTGGGAGAGGATGATGCAGCTAGAGATTCAGGCTCCTCGGGCAGCACAAGTCTCCCCCTACAATCAGTGCAGAAGGAAGGAAACTGACATTTCCAAGCACAGAGCGGGGCCCGGCGTGGGCTCGGCGATCTCTCTTTGTTCCCAGACCTGCCCAACAAGGCCGGTGTCGTCACCGATTTTCCCAAGGAGAAGGCTTCAGGGAACCACTCGCCCCAACCACTCGGCAGCAAGGGGATGGCGCCGAGATCCCAGCCTCCGAACCCGTGGCCTTCTGGCATCTTCCGCATAGTCTCTCTCCAAGGCTCCCAGGAGAGAATTTAACAAGCCGACAGCCATCTCTCGAGGACGAAGCCGACTGCCTTTTGAGGGCAGAGAGTGGCTGTGTGTACACACATGCAGCGCCCACCGGCACGCAGGTCAAGGTTGAGCCTTCTCCTAGGAATCGCTGCCACTTCCTGTCCGGGCCTCCAGCCAACCCCTGGCCGTCCGGTCCGTCACCATCCGATCACAAGGAATGTCCAGGTTTCAACACAGAAACCAACGCGAGTCCTTAGGTTACATTCCATCAGCCTGGGGACGGAAGTGGGCTCCACGCTGCCAGCTCCCACCTCCGAATTCTCACCTCTGACCTCCCAGGTGTCCCCAACGCACTGGGAACCTGCCACCTGACAGAAAACATCACCCAGGAAATTGGGAGGAAAGGCTTTTACATCGTGATGATCAGAATGTTCTGGGCCGAGTCGTGCCCCCCAAACACAAAGGTTGACGTTCTAACCCCAGCACCTCAGAAGGTGGCAGTATTTGGAGTCTTCAAAGAAGTGATTAAGTAAAAGTTTAATAAATAAAAATAATAACAAACTTAAATAGCAGGAATTCCTGCTTTCTACCCTTGCAGATACCTAACAGCAAATGTTAACATTTCTGGCACTTGAATTCAGTCCGCCGCAGCTCAAGGGCATGTAGTCAAAGTGGAATAATAGAAACTTCCAGAAAACGAGAGGAGAAACCACCTGAGGAAAGAGACTTATGTACAATGAAAAGCGTTTTCCACTCGTGGGCTCAGAGCACAGTTAAGCATTCAGACTACATACACCAACACAGGCATGGGAGAGAATCTGTATTAAACATAAACACCTTAGGATCAAAGTGTGTGTCTGTTGCCTTTATAAAGAGGTACTCAAAATTCAGATCTTTCTAGTAACTGCAATGGCATTGCAGAGATGATGTTGCCAAGAGACACCTGTTGGTTTAGTCGCATGTCACTCACTGTTCTGTGGGGCTAGGAGTGAATCTCCCTGACAGCGACCTAGCTTTGGGGGGTCTGGAGAATGACCCCATTTCACTGTGCTCGTGTTCGACGTTTCATCACAATTCTGTTCTCCCATAATTCTGCCACTGGAACTGAATGCCCAATACAAACACTGCTCTTCTGTTTTTTAAGAGGTTAAAGTGAAATGGATTCACAGGCTGGGCCCTGACCCAATAGGACTGAGGCCCTTAGGAGAAGAGATTAGGACAGACACACCCAGAGGGACAACCAGTGAGAACAGCCCACGGCAAGTCCGGGGAGAGGCCTCCTGGGACACCCACCCTGCCAACACCTGGATCTGGGGATTCCAGCCTCCGACTGTGAGAAGAAAGAACTCCTGCCGCTCAGGCCCCCAGTCCGTGGTCCTTAAAGCAGCAAAAGAACACACATACTTCACACCTGGGTCTGAAGGACCGTCCTGAGTGCTTCCCACACATAACAAAAGCAAACTTAGGAAACATTCTGCCTATAGGCAGTTCCAACTATGGGAACATTGGTCCTCTACAGCCTGCCACTGAGACAGAGCTCAGGAGCCTCATTAGCATCCCATCAGAAAAGGTGGAAGCTAGAGCTGGAGAGGTTCAAAAACGGGCACCAGGGTGGAAGCGTGGCCCACGCTCAGGCTCACCAGGCCCCGGCCGGGCCACGCAGCCCGGCTGCGGTGGGTAATGGGAGGTGGCCAGTACTTTTCCCTTAGCTAAATCCATTAGCACCGAATCAGGGCTAACACTCAAACTCCTGCCGCTGGCCGGGTCCCCGCCTCCCGGCTGAACTCTCTGAAGCCCTTCTCAGGACCGAATGCGTGGGAAAGTCCCCCGCGGGCCTGGAAAGCAGGCTTCTCTCCGCGCTGGACCTGCCGACCGGCCACCACTCCATTCTCTGCTCTTCACACTGGACACCGGGCCCTTCCGTGAACAAAGTGGACAATTTCACCGCTCAGTGGCCCTGATCCTTCTGCCCCTCCCGCCAGCACCACCTCCACCAGCAGCCTTCCCTGGCCCCACGGCACAGGCACCCGCCCGAGGGGTCACCTCCCAAACTAAACCAGGATGCCCTTCAAGGATGGACTGCAAATCCAAGCCACAGCGACACCCTGCAGGCCTCCCGGGCGAGCTGAGACAGACCACCGGGACACAGCAAACGCTGCTGAGGTGGCCGGTACGTGGCTGCTGGGAATGCGGAACGGGACGGCCGCTCTGGAAGAGCCCGGCAGTTTCTTAAACAGCTAAGCATGTCACGACCACAGGACACGGCATGTGCGCTCCCGGGCGTGGAGCCCAGCAGAGGACGGCTTACGGTCACACGAAATCCCGCACGTGAACGTTCGTAGCAGCTTTATCAGTGCTCGCCAAACCCGCTGTCCTTCTGTGGGTGAGTGGTCCAGCCACACCACAGACCCCTCATGGACGAAAAGGACCACGGTATCCATTCGTGCAACAGGCTGTTGAGAATCCAGACACTAATGCTGATTGGCGGTAAAAAGAAGGCAACCCCAAAAGGTTACCTACCATGTGGTCCTGTTCATGGAACATTGTTGAAATGACAAAATTACAGAAACGGAGAACCCGTGAATGTTTGCCAGGGGGCATGTGGGGGGGCAGGTGGGTGTGGCTCCAAAGGGGCAACAGGAGGGGTCCCCGGGGGATGGAGATGCTCTGTATCCGTGTATCCATGTCAACATCCTGGTTCTCATAGTGAATTCGATGTGCAACACACAACCTTGGGGGACACTGGTGACGGGTACATAGGGTCTTGGTATTATTTCCTACAACTACAATTACCTGAAAATACACAGTTAAATGAGAGAGAGAGAGCAGAAGGAGGGAGGGAAGGAAGGAGAGGAAGGAAGGAAGGAAGGAAGGAAGGAAGGAAGGAAGGGCACACCACATGCTAGGGCACTGACACCCTTGCAGTCGCCGATGTACCCGGCAAAGGCCTCGCCAGCTGCCCTGCTCTCTCTCCATGCTTTCACACCTGCATCCTCAGGGGTGACCAGAGAATAAGAGAAAGAGCTAGTCCCACACTAAGACAATCCCGATAGGATGTCTGATGTTCTAGGCCCGTGGTCGGCAAACTGCGGCTCGCAAGCCACATGCGGCTCTTTGGCCCCTTGAGTGCGGCTCTTCCTAAGCCTTAGGAGCACCCTAATTAAGTTAATAACAATGTACCTACCTATATAGCTTAAGTTTAAAAAATGTGGCTCTCCAAAGAAATTTCAATCGTTGTACTGTTGATATTTGGCTCTGTTGATTGAGTTTGTCGACCACTGTCTAGGCCAGTGGTTCTCAACCTTCTGGCCCTTTAAATACAGTTCCTCACATTGTGACCCCAACCATAAAATTATTTTCGTTGCTACTTCATAATTGTAATGTTGCTATTGTTATGAATCGTAATGTAAATATCTGATATGCAGGATGGTCTTAGGCGACCCCTGTGAAAGGGTCGTTCGACCGCCAAAGGGGTCGCGACCCACAGGTTGAGAACCGCTATTCTAGGCAAACAGTGGCACAATAAATTTTAAATTTTTTATAATGTCTCCAAAGTAAAATCCGGTTTGTAGAAATATAATAGGCCCTAATTCGGTTTTTCCTGCAACTGCAGCGCACGAGAATGTCTGCATTTCTATTTACTTACGATGCAATCTAATTTTCCTCCCCAAAGTAGCAGCGTGCTTGCTGCTCTGGAAAACAAAAGAGATCTCCCTGCAGCTCCCACGCTCCGCGACGTACTGGGTGTCACACTATTCCCAGCAGTTATCGTCACTCAGCGCTAATCCAAATACACTGAAGTCATCCCCCCCATCGCCAGGCAAATGTCACTTCCCCCAAACACGGGGCAAAACACACCATTGAGAAGTCAACTTCTGAACAAAGGCACTCTCTCAGCGCCCGGGACGGAAACCCAAACAGGAAGTCACTTGTCGCCACATTTCTAAGCTATGCTTTATTAAGTAAGAAATTAATGACGCGACGCTCCGTCCTTATCTCAAAAACCACTCCATGCTCTGCCTGCTTCATCTCCAGGAATCCTCGCTGGTTTCCATCCACAGGTTTCGCTCCACTTTCCAGACGAGGAAACTGAAGCTAAGAAGGCGTGAGTCACCTGCTCAAGGGTCACTTAGAGCCGGGAGTGACGGTGTCGGGGTGCCCGGTGAAAGCTCTGCGTGGAAGGGCCAGAGTGGAAAGCGCATGCTCGGCTCCGGCCGATCTGCTTCATGACGAAGCTCAAGGAGGGAAGAACCACTCCTGGCCACGCTGCTCTCCACACACCTGTCCCTTTCCTACGGCCGCCAGGACAGACTGCCACACCTGAGCCGCCTCGATCCGCCCGCACTAGCTCCGCTCTCCACCAGACACCTGGGCCCGGGTCTGCATCAAGGTGTGCGCAGGCTGGGCAGCTCTGGGCGCATCTGTTTCCAGGCAGAACCCAGCCGGGATTGGAGCACTGGCTCCTGCTTCCTGGCTGGCTACCAGCTGGGGGTCGCCTCAGCTCCCAGGGGCCTCTCTCTGGTCCTTGCAAGTGAGCCCCTAACTCTCAGGGCCAGCAACTGCTCCCTGAGCCCTAGCCAGGCTCAGCACCTCTCGGACGCGCGTGCACCTTTCTTCTGGGTCCCCCTTCCGTGACAGGGAGAGGAGTCCCCGGCTTATGGGGTCCGTGTGCTCCTGCAGGATCACCTCCTCGTCTCAGGTACATAACCTCCATCATCTGCAAAGTCCCTCCGCCGTGTCACACACACACATCTCCAGGTTCTGGGGATCAGGGCTCAGACATCCGGAGGGCGCTGCCCCCCACGCCAGCCTCAGGTGTGACTGGAGGACATGCTGCAAATTCCTACCCAATCTTAGGATCCACATGAGCATCACTATATTGGTGTTGGGACAGAAGACCCTGCCTACCTGGGGGGAGGGGAGGGGAGGGGGTGGGAAAGTTCCTCTAGTCCAGCCACCGCTAGGTCAAAGTTCATGCCTG